AGACTGGTAGTCTGGACGTTCAAGTATGTCAATTGTGCGCAATCAACTCTCTGTAGAATTAATGTTGAAGACGTGTAGGACGTACCTACGACCCATCAAAAGTCTACTAATGAGAACCCTAAGGTTTGGACCATGGCGGATTTCAAAAAATATGCCGCAATGAATGCTCGAATTGTTACGGTCTACACAACATCAGAATGCGTTAACCGACGTCAAGCTGTCGAACTTCTACAGACTTACTCTGTTCTGGAAAAACCTTGAGTGAGCCCCCCAGTAGGGACTGCGGTGTAATGACCTGACATCTATTTCGGGCCTGCAAAGTAGTTGATTGCTGTACAGCCGAAACTTACGTTGATCCTTGAAGCTTTCGTGAAGACGGAAGCAAGGACCCTGATTGGTGGAGAGGGGCCGATTGTCACATTGCAGGGACGGCAAGTCCCTCTGACTATCCCTAAATCGGGGGAAATACGGCGCCACATTCTGGGTGTTGTCGACTGAGTGCAACAGTTGAGATAGAATGGGACGATGAGCCATTCCTGCAACAAGCGTCTATCCTCGTCTATCACGGCAACCAAGAATGAGATTGTTTTGATGGAACTGCCATACGTACCTCTTGACGGGTCTAACCGAGCGACTTTCAAAATAGGTGAGATCCCAAAACGAAGATTGGTTGGGTAAGATGGGTGCAGTATTTCCGCCGCGTGCGACAGTTGAAGAGTCAATGCCACAAGGTCGAGAGAGATCCAATCGGATGAAACAGATGAGATTTCGGAGCGGGTAGACTGCCAGATATATGCCAGCGCGCCGATAGGTCGAAGAAGATGGACTTGGGTAGGCACGAGAAGGCGACGATAGATCGAGATCATTCATTGTTTGGACAAGTCGAATCACTCAGAACGCAGTGATAGCAAAGAAACACGGAACCTTTTTTTCATGAATCAGGTCGGCCGCGGTGTTTCGCGAAATGTTGCCTTGCCGCAATTAGAGTTCTATGTCAGCCTAAGAGATCTATAAAAGCAACGGCACACCGTGCTGATATGATCCTTTTTGTTACACCTTCCAGTTTCGAGCTCGTCTGTGCCGTTACTAGACGTCACGGTATCCCCTAGCGCCAGCGGGCCGTCGCCTACCTCACCGTTCCACCAATTTGCCGGCAACGTACAAGCCTTAACAACGTTGCTTACCTCGCGCCTTCCTAACCTAACCTTGGTAGTCTGTTGTTCGTCAATATAAATTTGACATTCGTATCTTCACAACCAACCAAGCTGCAACCACCGATTATAGAGTCAGTCCTAGAAAAGATAGAGATCAGTAGAAGAACAGGTTAGTAGTGTTGCTTCACTACCAGAGTGATTTTTTGATATCTTTGTCAAGCACAGTCGACTCTTACAGCATCGCTGATAAGCTTGATAAAAAGTTTCTACCTGTACGGACCCGTTCATAAAGCTCTCATATTTTATGGCTCAAAGCGCCACTTGGGTTTCCGTGATGACAGCGGCAATTCCCGACGACCGATCACAGCTTGTTCAGGCTTCCCTGTCTGACGAAACTTCATCATCAGCTGTCTTTCGTCTTCCTTCTATCCATCATTCTTTCAATAATCAAGGTCTTTTCGATACCACGACGATACCCCGTCCAGGAGCGATGGACTTTGCAACTCCTTCACATCAGCAAATGTACAACCAAGCCGACCTCGATCAAGCATTTAATTCATTGCAGACAGTAGACAACTCTTCTCCATCTCACCATTTGTCTCAAACAATTCCTCAACATAACTTTGATCATTCAGAATCTCGAGAGGTCTCAGATCATCCCTCCTATGATCTCTTTTCAAACAATAATAACAATTTTGCCTCTCAGCGGTACCGCGCCAATTCCTCTTCCTCCTCATCTCTGGGCCCTCCTTACGCTATGAGCCCAGATGGTGTATACTCGCATGCATCCTTTGGCGACTCTGTCCCATCATTTAGTTCCGGCAACACCTACGACATCATGAACAATGTTTCGTATTCCAGTGGGAAGGTCTCGCCCTTGACTCCCAATGACGCGATGACTGGCATCCAGCAATCTCCGGTCTTCCCCCACTCCTTGGGTATAAACGGACACCAGAAGGACTTTTCCAACGGCCACGCATACCCGGAACTCCTCAACGATCGCCGTGTTTCCGGTGTTAGCGGCGCTGGCTATCACAATGACTTCTCCGATGATTATGGCATGAACGGCGGTGCAGGCTATCCTCCATCGGCCCTTCAACCATTCCAAGATCGCATGCGTTTGCAACCTGACAGTCGCTTTCCCCATTCTGGCCTACCTCCTTCGGTCCCTTCGCATATGGGACACAGCCCTGATATGTTCCGTGGCGTTGCTCCGCAAGCAACGCACTCGTTCCGCCCTGACTCTGGCCTTCCTGGCTACGACGACGTGCAATATTTTGGCAACCCTCATGCTGACATGTCCTTACGCATGTCCAACATTGGGGATGGTTTCCCTGGGATGAGAAATGGGCATCCTGGTATGGGCTCCTCCAACGACCTTCAGGCTTTCATTCGGTAAATACTATTACGTTAAATTTACCTTCGGAATCTCATGATTCTGCTATTCAGACCCTACCTCGATCAATACGTACGGACGCCAAACCGCCTCGCGTTTGGCGAACGCACTGTGATTGTCATGTCGAGCAGGGTGGCGCAAAAATCATACGGCACTGAGAAACGCTTCCTCTGCCCCCCTCCAACGGCAATCATGATTGGCAACTCTTGGTGGACTGACGTGATACGCCGCGGCGAAGAGCCAAAACTTTGCCCTCCTCGTGTGACCGTCTGCATATCGGGTGAACCTGTCCCTCAAGAGGGTTCGATCGAGTGGACGTCTGCCTCCGGCAAGATCTTTGATGTAAATGATGCCCCTACAGGCACAACATACATTGGTCGCTGCGTTGGAAAGCAGTTGTTCATCAGTGATGTAGACGAGAAGAAGAAAAAAGTCGAGGCGCTTGTAAAGATCACTGCTCCGTCTTCTGACGATGAGCCTGAACGCGTTATCGGAACTTTCCCGAGTCGTCCTATCAAAGTGATCAGCAAGCCAAGTAAGAAGAGACAGAGTGCAAAGAATCTTGAGCGTGCGTAGATTCACTGTGATTCATGATGGCTTTTGACCGTGATCCTCCAGTATGTATAAACCATGGTTCAACGATTTCACTCTTCCATCGTCTGCGTTCTCAGACCGTCTCGACGAAGTACCTCTGCGTCTCCGGTTCAGGCTCCTCTTTCAAGGGTTCTGACGGTGCCCCTTTAATGGGGATTGATACCCGTGCGCGATCTAGCACGCCATCATTCATTGCACGTACTGCTAGTTGGGGTCAGTTTTTCACTTATGCTTTTTTTGTCTTTGCTGACGTTTTCATATTAGATCCGTTTGTAATGTACATTGTCGATGTCAACAAACCAGCCGGCGGAATCGATACCCCTCCCCCACCACCTCCACAACCTGACTACCCTTCACCTCCGCCAAATGCCATTCCTTTCACCAACAACGGCACCCAAATACCAATCTATTACAACCAGACAGTGGTGCTACAGTGTCTGGTCTCGGGCGTCGTATCTCCCGTCTTGATTATCCGGAAAGTTGATCATCAGACGACAGTAGTTGGAGGAGGTCTTCAAGAAGGCGCAAAGGGTGTTGCAGACCACTATTGCTCACCAGGCGAAGTGTGTGGCGACCCAGTCTCCCAGCTTCATAAGATCGCCTTCGAAGTTTACGACTCAACGAAGGGCATGCCTGAGCCTGGGACCCCCGGTACAACGGGCGCGTTCTTGTCGTGCATGGGTGAAAAGGTTAATACCTACCGTCCAATTGAGGGCCGGCTGTGGAACAACCCGCCGAATGCAGGGTCGACATCCCCTATTCTTCCCGGATCTCCCGTAGTTTCAACACCAGCGTCCATGTCGGGCGCCGATTATTTCGGGCAGGCCACTGCAAGCGAGCCAGCATCGCCGTCTTCATCAAATGATTTTTCAAATGACGGCGGGCGCGTGAAGAAGGCGAAACGTTCAACATCAAGTGCCGGTGTTATCAAGAATCCAGGCCCAAAAGGGCGGCGGCGCCCGACCTCCGCCGGGTCTGCGTCTTCTGGACGTCGCGGATCTTCCACTGACGCCGGCGCATCATCGGGTGCACTTTGGCAAGTGGATATAGGCGAGACGAGCGTCTGGACTATTGTTGGCACAGGTACTACGTAATTTTCCATTCCCAAATGTGCAAAACTTAACTTTGAATTTGTCAGATCAAGTGCGATACAACTTCTATGTACCGCCCGTGTTGTTCGACAACCAGAACGCCCCTCAAACAGGATCATTCCCAATCCCGTCGAAGCCCGTCACTCCATTCCCGGCAGTTGTGAAATACCTGCCTCCTGACCGTGCTGCGGAGGCACCAAAGTCTAACTGCGCACAATCGCGTGGCGTCTTGTCGAAACCTAATCCTCACATATCAAAAATGTTGACCGTATACGGAGAAAACTTCAACAAAGCAGACCCAGTACACATCTTCTTCGGATCAGACCCTTCGCCATATGCCGAAGTGAGGTGCACCGAGGTGTTGGGCTGCCTACCTCCAGAAAACCAAGTTGCGAAACGCCGGCCGATTATCATGATACGACCTGATGGCGTTGTGTTCCCGTCACCTGTTATGTTCCCTTGATTGTATTTATCGGTATATCCTCGGTGCTTGTTTGTGGCCTGGTCTGCCTGCCTGGATACATCCCTATAATTTCGCGATTCCCAATGCTTTGAACATGTTAGGATCTGATAGTTGCTATCTGTACACCATGGACCCGACTAAGTCCCAGCGCAAGACAGTACTATGTAGCCCCCTTGTATCATATCTGTTAGAAGAATTTCGATTTGATGTTTCTATCTCCTGCCTTTCGCCCCTTAGGCAGGATCTTCTACGGCAAAGACCGTGAAACTGTCTTGTAGGCTCGTTACAGTTATCATCTTTATCAGATCTGAGCACTGAGTTGGCCAAATTCTCGACTTTTGTACGTTACTTTCCATCATATCAACATATTTGACAGCGGTACGCCCACCTATCATCGCTCTACACGCAAACGCGTTCGTCGTATCGGGTGTAAAAACGCTATCTAGTAATCACGGCTGTTACAAAACCCAAGCGCAATCAGAAATCGTTGTGTCGGGTCCAAAACACCATCTAAATCACTACTAGGCGGGCGTAACTTGCACCTTGCCAGCATTCTTTTTGCATATTCCTGCAAGCGAGCTGTTCCAATTTCGCTCCAAATCCCTTCACCCTTCCGCAGCGCCATGGGTTCCCAATACAGTTTACACCTCTTGTTCTCTTCCGCACCTCGTCGCGTATGGCATGCATACATCCAATATCTATGGAACCCGCTTCCTGGCTCCTGGGTCACCCAGGTCGCATATTCATTCCGCATATTGGCGTTCCTGCTTATTCTGCCAGTCGTCGTTCTGACACTGCTGGTGCGTATCCAACCTTGCTAAATTTGTAGATCGTTGCTTCTTTCAATTATTGATATCTAATTTTTCTTGTTAGGATATAACCTCCTATGTGATCGCACGCACTCTCGGTATTGTTGACGACGTCAAAGCGTCCACAAGCGACCTGCCTGTTGTGACTGCTGAGGGCACGCCCTCGGTCCTCGTTGAAGATACGTCATCTGAAGAATCCTTCCCCGCGGAGCAAGGCAGCTGCATATCTTCGGTTCATCGGCAACATAATACCGACATGAAGAGTGCGGGAGTACAGGAAGAAATGAAGCTCCAGGCTTACTTCACGGGAGAGGAGGATCTACGCTTGTCTAGTGTTGGCGTTCTCTCGCCTTCCCCGTCTCAGCCACCGTCACCTGTTCTACCCCACGAGAACTTGTCTGGAGAAGATGAATCGATGAGAATGGAAGGTCTACGTGATGCACAGGATGAGCCCATGATCCTGCGACGACGGGGCGCCCAAGCGAAAAGTGATGATTAAATCAGCCTTTTTGGAATCGCCGCTAGAACTACACATTTTTTGCACCGTGTACGATGACATGATACCGATCAACGTCCCTTTTTACTCTACAGCTACAGTGATATCGATCAGGAAAACGAACTCGCAAATAAAAACAACTGGCCAAGACGTCAAGTGAGGTGATCAGTAAAACCGTAGCTGATCTCTGGTGAAGACAGGTGGCTTCCAGATCAAATTATCGGCATAAATCCGACGCCTGCGTTTGTTTCGCACTTTTTCATGTTTCTCCAAAACGGCTTCCGACAGACAAATGATATGTTGTCCTTTGTAGTGTTTAAATAGCTGCAACGTTGTGCACCTGCAAGCAATTCATTTAGCGTTACATCCCAGAGAACAGGTTCTTTCACACACGTATTCATAATATCCGCATGGGTGATAGACGTCTTCTGCGCAATATCGTCAATGCTCAGCTCATCTGTTGTATTGATGAGCAATTCCACGATGACCTCCGCCCAATATGCACGGTAACCGAGTAGGCCCAGATCGCTCAGGGGCTTTTCAGGGCTGCCAAGTTTCCCCTCTTTCTTACTCAACTCGTAAGAAAATTCGATGAGCAGCTTGCCAAAGCCGTGGCGTTGATGCTGCGGTAGCGTCAAGATACATGCGACGTTATAATTCTCCGCCGACTCTTTCTCTTTCGAGAAGTAACCGATAATATGGCAACCTGTAGAATCTCGTAGACACTGGGATGATAGTCGGTATAACATAAATACAGAATGGCATTGTACACACCATGACATAATACATGAACGGTGTCACGTCATAGTACAACGTCTTGCTATAAGGGCACAGTCAGATAATTGAGCTTCGTCGTTACCGAGAAGAACTTACTGATCTAGAAAACATTTGGACAATAAACTGAGGTTCCGACACCAGCTTAATTGCCGCTTCCCATCAAGTTCGAAGACCGAAATGTCTTGGTGGCGGTAGATCTCGTTGCCAGGTGGATGAAATAGCGTACAACGTTGTCGGTGGCGCGAGAGCATCATGGGCGACGGAAAATATGCGAGACAGAACTCGCAGATGTATAGCACGGGTAAATGCGCATATTCCTTTGGATATGGACTGAAGTACCACGCTTCGACCTCGTGTTTGCCAATCTGTAGACGGTTTAAATTCTTCACCCGCGCAATTTCTGATATTGACTGGGTCATCGAGCCGGATGTCCGTAGTTTCTCGATTTCTTGTTCTTTGCTGAATGAAGAGACGGGAGGGGGCGTCTCTACTTGTGCACCATTGACGTTAAGTTCGAAGGTATCCCCTTCGCCGTCGACATCCATCTCGCCTTCTGCGTCTACATCATCTCCTTCAATTTCTTCTTCCTCTTCTTCCTCTTCATCATCAGTTAACTTCCGCTTCAATGATGGGGCAGGTGATGGCGAAGGAAAAGCAGAGCGGCCAGGGGTTGAGGCAGACGTAGGCGAAGCAGCCGCAGCCGCATTTGATGTCGCTTTCTTCAATAGTGACTGGGAGCGAGGGGCCTTCCCCGGTGCTTTCTGCAGTGAGCCAGGCCCAGCTTTCTTGCCCGGTAGCACCTTTGGACGGGGCCACTCGAGGTCCCTGCTCAAGATAAGCCTAGATCCCGTCACCCACTCATCCAAACGCTTGTTAAACTGATCCCAGTGGACAAAGTACTCCCACTTGTCTTCTGGTTTGTCGAGCGCATCTTCCTCTTCTTCTTTCACACCACCTCGGGCATTTGTGCGTTGTGCTGACGTATATGAATTCACGGGTTTATCACGAATCGATAGTATTTCTGCAAGCCGCTCTTCCTCCCCGTCTGGGGTTGGACGGCGGATGTAGATTTTGCACCCAACAGAGACGGTCTGAGGAAAGAATTTGATGAGTCAGCACTATGGAGGCCTGTGTGAATTGAAACTGCGGAAATTTACTTGGATAGTGTACGTTCCTCCAGGTGTGATGGATGCTGACTCCTGCGAGCCTTCATTGTTAGCATGTGCAGAGACCATTCTCGAGCAAAACGGCGGCGAAAGCTGAGTGCTAAGGGCGAAGAGCAGATTTTGCGTCGTTTGTGTCGACTTACCGAGTCATGAGGGGGAAGTTGAATTTCGCTTACTCAGCCTACAGCACAGCAACCTTTGCTTCCTATTTCACCACACAGGCCGAATGTCACGGTTTAATTGTGAACAAAGACAATGCTAGACAACAGCGCTTAAGTCTATAGGTTACGGTTCCTATGGGCCAATCTGAGACTGGCTCCGGGTTGATACCATACTAGCAGGAGGCCTCATCATTTTTAGGAATTGTAGTCTAGCGTGTTTCAACTACTTCGCTTTTTAGACATCGACTGCCAGGGGGCACTCTCCAAGTTAGTTCAAAGCGTACAGATTGAGTTACACCTGTAGATTCGGATCATTAATGCTAAAAGCACACCAAAAGCCGTGCAACCGGCGCTGCACGATTCTTCGTCGAACGCATAATTCCGTCGAGTGCGCGCGGCGTCAGATGGTCTATTAAGATCTGATTCTCTGTGAGATCGCCGTCCCTACCTAGACCCGCCTGGTGATGATGAAGTCTGTGCTCATTTTCGGCAGTTCAAAAGGTGTGGTGGCCGCAAAGATTCGGAAACTCGCATCCTCGGAAAGACATATAACCCATGGCCGCGGTGTAAAGTCTGAGTACTGTTTGTGATAATTAGCGGCAGGGTAAGCATTCTCCTCGCACCCGACGAATTCTGATGTGAATGACGATAATGGAGCTTACCAATTTCTATCGAGCAAATCTCGCAGAAGTCCCGCAAGTGAGCCGTATGAACTTACCACAAACGATACATCATCTTAACTGACGGCAGACCATGAGGGCATGGAGTAGAGAGAATTTCCGAGCCATCGCTTTTGCAATGTTCCAACTGCCGATCAATGCGCAATGGCTAGGCTCTAATAGCGCCAGCCGGATGGACCTAGTGACTGAAATGGTTGAAGTGGTATTACATACCTCGTGATAGGACAGCATTGGTCTTTGTTACGTCTGTGGACATAAGGCTACCGCAGGCAATCGAACAGCCCCACTCGAACCAATTTAATTCCGTCATTCTACTTTATTGCTCATGAGCTGCAAGAACAAGCAGAAGGGCCTGACCAGAAATACGTGATACGCAGGTTACAACCCGAGTTACACCCCTTAGATATGGGCCTTACTCTTCCTCGCGGAGTTTCGAAAATGGCAGTGCATAACAGAGTGTATTCGCAACCGCAATTATGATATCGATGTGTTTTTTTTTGTAGAAGAATGGACGAGATAGAATGGGGTTGGAAGGGTACAAGTCTTCGTTGATGCGGAGGCCATCGATACGATGACGACAAAGGGGAGCACTTGTGAGTCATAACGAAGGGTCATGAAGGGATCATAGTAGTAGGCGCCACGATGCTAACGCCACCAACGTGGCGAGGGGTGCGAAGGAGTGTGGCCCTGACACCTCTAGCTCGGAAACCTGTTTCGGAGGACAGGGTCGGAGGCATCCCCGCTTGGCCAGTACCAGTTGGTGTAACCTTAGACATAGTGGCTTGACTCGTTTTGTCCTGGGAACATAGTGCGCTGTCAATCGCATTCAATTACATGGGCTGTGATTAAACTGCCAAGAAATTTTTAGATCTGGATTCTGCAAAATAGAAAATTTCAAATACAGGCCTTTTGTGCTATCAGTATATGATCCTGCATATCTAGATATTGCCCTGCTAGCAAGAACAAGGAAATTTGTGCGCCGTTAGAGGTAAATAATGTCACTCAGATTGTTACTAGGGCCTGCGGCTTGTCTCCCCCGATGGATCAGGGTCAAAGTTTTTTTTTCCTTCCTTGATGTTCCGTCTAAGCCAGTCTAAACGGTGATGTAAGAACAATAATATTCCATTGGCAGGAGACAAGCCCGACAGAACGATGGACTTTGTGGGGAATGGGAAAGCGAAGTATGGCGGTACATGATGTACATCTTCATGCCGTATGTACACTTCCTGAAGTATACCTAGTGCAGCCTCTTAGTTGATCACATACACGAGTAGTAACATTTTTAAAGGACGCACGGAGTATCAGGTGTTCAGACAGAATCTACGTGACAACCTACTAAAGTTTTGGGCTGAGTTCATGCCATCACAACGAAGTGGCGTATTGCCAGTGAAATAAACGCAGGTTCGTGAGTTCCAAGGACACTGGCTGGAGCCGTCGGACCCAGGAAAAAGAAACACAAAATTGGCTTCTTACATCTGTGTGAATCCCTTTCTTCTACATTAGTGGAGTGAAGACTGCGTGTATGATACAACAAACATGTCTTGCTCTATATGTAAAGCCTGAAGTCGTGTTGTACACCGTCTACAGGGCTCGCAGCGCCATGTCCCCGAAAAGAATGAAACAAAGTATTTCGATGGCAATGGAGCTGAAGAAAAATGTTCCCAAAGTCTTACGGCGAGACCAGATATCCGAAGGAGCCAGGAAGGGGTGCAGTTGATTGTTGTAAGCTTGTTGGAGACTCGAGAGAGCTGGGAGGTATTGGAGGCTGGATGGGTGTGTACGCACGTGATCTCCGTACTATCCGGCCCCTCCCGGAAATGAATCAATCCCAAGTGGGCCCTTCCGAGGTGTGAATTGATGAACCGTGCATCTTGACCTTGACCGAATTCAAGATGATTTGACAGTAATCAACAACAATGACCATAAATTCGAAGTAATTTAACTGCGACTGGGGGTTAGGAAAACTAGTCACGCATAATTTCACTGAAATTACGAGCAATTGTCAAAGATGATCTTCATTTTGGGAAGGAGGCTTTCCCTGATGCAGAGATCTAACCGAAAATTACGAATACACAGCGCGAGTCTGACTCCTGCTGGACAATGGTCGAGTCAACAAGCAAGACTCGTCATGGCAGTCACTAGTAGCTACTCACCAGTGTGCATCAGGCCAGTTCATTGAAGCTCCGCGCATACTCGGAGCCGTAAATGCATTCCGATACCTGAATCGATTTGCAGCTCGATGGGGACCTGTAACATGGT